AAATAAGTCCCTGCCCCCAAGAGAACAAAACATACTGGGTAAGACAGATGAATAAACAAATTTAAGAATATACATTATATATGGGACATTATTTTTTATTCTGTAGAATATCTGCAGACTGTTTTAAAATAAGAACATTAAGAGAGAGTCTGAAAGTAGGCACATAGATGACAGCCTGTAGGTAGCTGGGGGTCCAGGTAGGTCTACAGAACGTCAAAGCTCCTTTCTGTTTGTTACTGAATTGCTTCAAGTTTCTGTGCTCTCCACGCATATCCATCTTTGGTGATTTTGTCCCAAGCATTATGCTTCTGTCTTGCTGAAACATCCGGATAGCCTCAGTCCCATCCGTCCTAGACAGACATGTTTCTCATCAGGCTAATGCCTGGGTCATTGACTCTTAGAGCACAAATTCAAGGAATAAATAGGGCCCCGCTGGACTGGGGCATCTCAATTCATACTCAGTCAGTTCATTTCAGCTGACACCGGAGAGCTGCCAGTTCTTGCCAAACGCCTGTCAGTCCAGAACAGTAGCCTGTTTGTTAGAATCATTGTGGTCATTGTGGTAAACGCCAATCAGTCTTTGGGACCATGACCAGAGCATTCTGGTTTAACCTAAGAATAAGTTCAGTCCTGATGGCAACAATAGCTTCATTTGAATGAAAACTATTTGAAAAGGGACGTCAAACAGGCATTCATGGATGCTACGCACATTTGTTTCCAGACGTCTAAATGTAAGGAATGAGCTAACCTTAGGGAGTCAAGAGATAGATGAGAAACAGACTGTTCTTAATAAGTTTAAGGTTTAGGAGAAACTGAATATAGGCAAGCCACATATAGAAACAAGCAGAAAATGAGGCAGAAAGTGAGGGTTGTCAAAAATGAAAACCAAGTGCCATGGGAGGATGAAGGAGACACTGCCTTAGTCAGAGAAGGCTTTATAAAAGAACAGACCATTCACTGGGCCTGAAAAGCATGCAGCATCTCAATAGGAAGAAAAGCATTCCAATGGGAAAGGAGCTGAGATCAAAGGCCGGAGAGACCAGTCTAGAGCACACTGCACTTCTTTCTTTACTAGCTCACTCCATGCATCCCTCAGGTCTTAGCTGAATCTCTGCCTGCTCCATGGAGACTTCCTCTGACATCGGGCCTCCTACCCCAACAGACGTTTAGAAAGTATATGCCACCAAATTTGTTAGCCAGTTACACTGTAATGTTCACTTGCATTGTTTGTTATTTTATTGATGCTGAAGATATTTGGCAGTTGCTTGTCAATTATCTGTTGTGGGGGGGGGGCTGGGAGATGGTTCAATGAGTGGGTAAAGGTGCTTGCTGCCAAGGTTGACAGCCTGAGTTCAATCCCTGGGATCCACGTGGTGGGAGGAGGGACGCAATTCCTGCCAGTTGTCCACTGGCATTTACATAGCACCACGGCACATATGTAGAGATGCACACAGCAAACAGCAAACGAACAAATAAGTAAATGTAAAAAAACTTGAAAATGTGTTACATGAATAGCCGAGTGTGGTCATATAGAACTGGAAGGTCAGAATTTGTGAGGAAGAGTGTTGTGTGATGCACTTTTCCTGGGGAGGTAACACACACGCACAAACACACACACACACACACTCACGCAGACTCACATATCTATTAGGTCAGAAAGGGAGCCACTAACAAACCCAAGTAACAGTTGCACCAGTGTCTAACCTGGTAACCCGATTGAATTGTGTTGGGATTACTAACAGGAGTATGGGTGAGGGGTCACATATGAGGGGTGGAGACGACTCAAAAGCAGCCGCATCACAGCAAAGCCCACTGCAACACAGATGGTAACTGACTAAATCTGCATCCCTGAGACTCTGTGTGCAGCTGGCAGGGAGCTGGGCTGCCGGTGACTGTCTTCTCTCCATGAGTTTGACTGGTCCCTGAGTTGAGTTTCTCCTCCCTGAGTTGTTAATGACTCTGCTTTAAGCTGCTGGGGCCAGGCCCTCAAAAATCATCTGCATTTCTCTTCTCCCAGATACGTGAGACGTGAACCTTTCTCTCCCTCTTGTGTGGGATATTTCAATCCAGAGAAAACTGACAAACGACAGAGAAAACTAACAAACGACAGAATAGCAAAAGATTGTCAGCCATGACCACTCCATTTTGTAAAGGTCCCTCATTTTGGCTAAACAGTGGTAATATCTGAAACTAATTTCGCTAAGTCCTTGCCCTCTGAACCCTGTCCACCCTCAGTAATGGTAATGACTGGCTATGAGCCGTTTTTTTCTGTCATTTGACATGTTTCCTCCAACACAAAACTGGCCTCTGGAGTCCCCTCGGAACTTGCAGAAGATCCCCAGGGCTGTTCACTCTGCCTTATGTCTGTTCTGCTCGTTACATTGTTTTGTTTTTCCCAGTTTCTGTTTCGGAGTTGGAGTTAAGAGGGTTGAATTATCTACGCTTCATAGTTTATCGCCTGCTACCATACGTGACCCGTCCACAGTCTTTTGATTTTTATTTATTCCTTTATGCCCTATTCCCACCTTTTTTGTGTTGCCACCTTTCTGATACATTTAATGTCTCTGCTTTTTTATTTGTTTGTTTGTTATTTGGTTTTCTTGTTTTGACTATGTAGGCCCGTGGCTGGCCTCGAACTCAAAGAGATCTTCCAGCCTCTGCCTCCTAAGGCTAGGATTAAAGGCATGTGTCACCACACTTAGCTCTTTTGTAATTTAAAAATGTTTTACTTATCATTGTGTAGGGAAGCCAGAGGACACCCTCGCAGAGCCTGCCTTCTCACCTTCACTTTTTATATAGGTCCCAGGGAATGAGCCTTAGGCTTATTCCGCTAGAGATTTTACTCACTGAACTATCTCTCCAGCACATCTTTTGTAATTAACAAAACAAAACAACCCCCAACCCAAACTACATATATATATATGTGTGTGTGTGTGTGTGTGTGTATGTGTGTGTGTGTGTGTGTGTGTGTGTGTATGTATGTATTAACGGGGGGAGGGGGCAGGAAAGATTGCTCTGCGGTTAAGAGCACTGGCAGCTTTTCCAGAGACTTGAGTTTGACTTCCCAGCCCCTACATAGCGGTTCACAATCGTCTAACCCCAGTTCCAGGGAATCGGTTGCTCTCTTCTGGCCTCTTTGGCGCTGCGCACACATGGTACACACATACATGCCGGCAAACACTCATAAACATAAAATAAAGGTTTTGTTTTTTAAAAAAGTATATCTATGTGGGCTTGTGTACTTGAGTGCATCAGCCCCGGGGGCAAAAATTCATCGTATTCCCATGGAGCTGGAATTTGTGAGCCTCTGTAAGAATGCACAAATTCGCCGGGCAGTGGTGGCCTTTAATCCCAGCACTTGGGAGGCAGAGACAGGCGGATTTCTGAGTTCGAGGCCAGCCTGGTCTACAAAGTGAGTTCCAGGACAGTCAGGGCTATACAGAGAAACCCTGTCTCGAAAAACCAAACCATAAATAAATAAATAAATAAATAAATAAATAAATAAATAAATAAAATGCACAAATTTATCATTTATATTTTCTTAGACGTGGGCTCATGAAGCTTGAGCTGGTCTCTGCCAAGTGCAGGGATTTTCCGGCGCAGTAGACCACGCCTGGCTTTGCAATTTTTAATTCCTTCTTCAGGATTCCATGCGTAAGAGCGCGTCTCTGATTTTTAGCCAATCTCGAAGCCGGAGGAGAATGAGAGTGCACACCTATCTGCGCAGCGCCGGAAGTGACGCACGCATCTTATAAAACTCGCCAGCGCCCGTGGGCGGGCTCAGAAGGCTGGCGGGCAGCTAGCATGGCAGATGAGGAGGAAGATCCCACCGTGAGTGAGCGCCTGTCACAGCCTGTTTTTCTCACTCCGTCCGTCTCACTAGCGGAGGCAGAGTCTGATCCGCCTATGCCTTAGGGAATCCCGCCGAGAGTTCGTGGGCTCCGCGGTGTTTTCCTTTTCTGGTTTACCTTAGTCAGTGCGTGGGGCAGGACGGGAAGGAAGAGTAGAAAGGGTCTCCCTTTGATCTGGATCTTCCGACACTGAGACGTCTAGAGGGTCATAGGAGGTCAGAGCTAATACCACCGTTCCAGCCGCCCAGCTGCGAACAAAACTAGTGAAAATAGCGGAGAAACGACGAACTAAAGTCAGGAAGCTTGAGATCCAAATTCTTTGGAGTTATTAAGGCTTCGATGTTCTTGTCGTGAGATAGGGTCAAGCCCAGTGAAGGAAAGTTTTTAGCCCTGTATTGACAGGTGCTTAGTAAATATTGCTTCCGATGACAGCAGAGTAGATTTTAAACTATCAGATCTTTTACAGTAGTATTGCTTAGCAGTATGACAACTAAATTGGCTAAAACCAAACCCAGAACCTGAGGTCGTTAGAACTTTACACACATACACGGTGTAGGGTTGTTGGGAGCCGTAATAAAAAGCCTTCTTGCACGACTTGAGAATTGGACTAGGGCTTAAGAGCCCTTTGGTGCTAAGTTTTCGTGATTTTGTGCTGTTTGCTTTAGTTTATCACTTTTGAAAATGGAAAAGCGTCACCGGGCATGGTGGCACACACCTTTAATCCCAGCACTCAGAAGCAGAGGCAAGTGGATCTCTGTGAGTTCCAGGCAGACAAGGGTACATAGTGAGACTACTTTGTTTCAAAAAAAAAAAAAAAAAAGTCTAGAGAGCGCTTAGTGCTTAAGAACATTTACTGTCATATCTGGTAACCTACAGTGATTAGACTATTGGCCTCTACAGACAACTGCAGGCACATTGATATAGGCACATACAATGCATGTAAATAATAAATGTCTTTCAAAAAAAAAAAAGATGAGATGAAAAGGGCGCTGGAGTGTAGCTCAGTGGTCAAGCATCTGTTTAGAATCGTGAGCTCCTGGGTTCAATTCACTGCATTCCAAAAAGAGGACGAGCAGGAGGAGGCTCGAGGGAATCTCACAGGCACTGCAATCATCTGACAGGTCCATATTTTTAAATTTCTAGTTTGAGGAGGAAAATGAAGAAATTGGAGGAGGAGCAGAAGGTGGCCAGGGGAAGAGAAAGAGACTTTTCTCAAAAGAACGTGAGTTGTACTTTCAAGTGCGTTTATTAAGGGTGGGAAAGCTTTGGAACGTATCCTTTCAGAGCAGATATATTGTTCCGAATATGTTTGCGTATAGGGACAGTGTTCTCAGACTTGCCTATGAGATTGTCTGGTTTTATTCTGTCTGTTTTTGTTTTGTTTTGTTTCATTTTGTTTTAAAGATAGGCTTTGTATAGCTGTGGCTATACTGGTGCTCACTATTTAGCCCAAGCCAGCTTTGGGTTGGTGGTAGTCCTTCTGCCTTAGCCTCTCAAGTACTGGGATTGCAGATATGCATCCCATGGTCAGTATAAGTCTCTCTTTCGTGTATATTCATTCCCTCTGTGTGACTTACAATAATGAATGTGATTCCTTCCTCCTTTTTAAGGCAGGTTTTATTTTTTTATTTTATTTCTTTTAGTTTTTTTGAGGTGGGATTTTTCTGTGTAGTTCTGGCTGTCCTAGAACTCATTCTGCAGATCAGAATAAATCAAGATCTGATAGTCTGGGCTGGAGAGATGGCTCAGCGGTTAAGAGCACTGACAGCTCTTCCAGAGGTCCTGAGTTCAAATCCCAGCAACCACATGGTGGCTCACAACCATCCGTAATGAGATTGGATGCCCTCTTCTGGTGTGTCTGAAGACAGCTACAGTGTACTCATCAATAAAATAAATAAATAAATCTTTAAAAAAAAAAAAAAAGATCTGATAGTCTACAACTCACAGAGATGTCCCTGCCTCCGCTTCTGCCTGCTGATGCTGGAATTAAAGCTGTGAACCACCATCCCCCAGCTGAGGCAGGGTGTTTTATATCCCAGTAGGGATGACCTTGAACTTCTGTTCTACTGTCGGTTTCCCGAGTTTCCAGGGTTCTAGGCGTATGAGTACGTGTCATGAGTCCCAGTTCTGGATTGACCCTGGTTGTGTGTGTCAGGCTAGTGCTCTGCTACTGACTGAGCTTCTGTTAATTGCACCACCGCCTCCTTTTTCTGTTTTTCGTTTGCTTTGTTTTTGTTGTTGTTCTTGTCTTTTCCTTTCTGTTTCATTTTTAGCAGGGTCTCATGTATCCTAAACTGGCCTGTACTCATTATGTAGCTGATGATGACCATGACATTGTATTCCTCTTGTGTCCACCTTTCAAACGATGTAAGTTGAGGCTTTGGACTAAGTCAGGGCAAGAAAGTAGTGAAGTGTGGGGTGCTAACAGTGTCACTGAGATGATAATTCACGGCCTTCAGTCATACTCCTTAAGCAGACAAGTTAAGCCCTTGGGACAGAAGCAGGATGAGCTGTTTCCTCTTGTCATGCCTGTACTAATTCCTGAAAGGCACCATGAGAATGTACTCTCCATCCCTGTGCCCAGGTTCCTTGACTGAGCATTGAGAAGTACAGCAGCAAGAATTCTTCAATCCTACTGCATTCTAGAAACTGCAAGATCAGCCTTTAACCGTCTAAATCTTTTTTTGATCCCAGCTCTTGGGAAAGATAGGGACAGGAAGATTTGAAGTTCAGGACCATCCTCGGAGAATTTGAAGCCAACTTGGGCTGTATGAGACACTGTCTCTCAACAACAGAGAAATCCTTTCCAGTACTTTCAGGTTTCGTTCAAGTCTGACCATTTCCCATTCCATCTCACTGATGCTAGTTACATGATTTGTAGGTGGTTTTACTTCTTGTCATGTGGACATGTGAAAATGATCCTATCACCAAAGCACTCTAGAAATGGTACTCACACTGCTGCTTGTCCAAACCTTTAGTTCAGTTTCAACTGCTCTACTTTTATGAAGACAAAAACTTGGAATCTTCACAGGCTTCTCTTATTGACTTAATAGAATCTTCATGTCTCCTCCATTTTTGCTGTTTTTTTCAGACAAGGTCTTGCTGTGTGGTTCAGGATGGCCTTAAACTAATGTTTCTCTTGCCTCCACGATTCCCTCCTTCTACCACATGGGTCTCAGTGATGGGACTCAGGTCTTCAGGCTTGGCAGCAGGTGACCTTATGTGCTGAGCTAGCTCCTTGGACCTTTTTAAAATTATTACATCATTTCCCCTCTCCTTTTCATCCCTCTAAACCTTCCCATATACTCCTCCTCGCTCTTTCAAATTCATGGGCTCTTTATAATTGTTGTATACATACATACGTACATATATTCTCTCTCTCTCTCTCTCTCTCTCTCTCTCTCTCTCTCTCTCTCTCTCTTTCTCTCTCTCTCTCTCTCTTTCTCTCCTTTCTCTCTCCCCTAAATATATAAGTACAACTTGCTCTGTTTTCAAGGGCTTACCGTTGGTTTGGACAACTAGTTGGTGTGCTTAACTCTGGGAGGACTACTCCACCCTTTCCCAGCATTCTGTTGTTCCGAGGAGGGTTGAAGCCTGGGCTTCTCCAACTCCACATTAGCATATCTGATTTTGTTGTCCTTGCTTTCTGGTTTGTTTTTAAAACAGAGTTTCATATAGTATAGGCCGCCTTGTAACTGAAGAGGACTTGAACTTCTGATCCTCTTGCCTTTACTTCCCAAGTGCTGATATTACAGGGGTGTGCCACCATGACCAGTTTTATTCAGTGCTGGGAACCCAGGGCCCTGCACATGCTATGTAGGACCGTCCTGACTGAGCCATATCCCCAGCTCAACAGATTTCTTTTTCTTATTGTAACATGACGTTTCAAAGCATCTACTGTCATTTGTCTATGCCTTTATCAACCCTTTGGCCAAATATATGCATCATATATAACATAAATTTTCCATTCCCAATGAGATAGGTGAATTATGCCCATTAAAATGTTAGTGATGGCCCGGTGGTGTGGCGCACAACTTTAATCCCAGCACTTGGGAGGCAGAGGCAGGTGGATTTCTGAGTTTGAGGCTAGCCTGGTCTACCGAGTGAGTTCCAGGACAGCCAGGTCTACACAGAGAAACCCTGTCTTGGAAAAAAAAAAAATGTTATTGATGGGTATCTTCCCCAACTATTTAAGGAAAAAACAGCTCATAGTGGGAATTTATAACATATCACTTTAGCTAATGATCAGAGTTAGCATCATCAGTGACATATTGGCATATACCCCTGATGTGAGAGTGTCTTGATTTCGGTATTTTTTCAATAGTGTATAAAAGCATTCTAACCTCAGTATAATCACAAGAAAACAGCAGACAGAGAACAGTCTGTAACATCTGACTAGGATTCTTGCTGAGGTCTTAAAAGACAAGGAAGAGCTAAGGAGTTGCCACAGGCTGGATGGAGCAAACTATAGAGGTGTAGCAGGTAAGCAGAGTGGAGTCTAATGGGAGTCTGAAATAGAGGCCCGGGGACTGTAGCTCAGTGTTGTAAGAGCATTCGCCTAGCATGCGTGAAGCTCTGGTGGGGGATGGGATAGAAACAAGGAACCTGAACAGAAAAATGGACCTAAGTAGAAAAATCAGGACAATCTGAATAAGATACTAGTGTTATTTTTTTAGTTTTGATGAATATTTATTATATAAATGTAAGGGGAAGCTAGGCATGTGGGAACTCTCTTTTTTAATAAAATAACTCATCTGTGAGTCTCTTAAAAATAGAATTCAAATATATATATAGAATATTGGTTCCTATAGTTGTTTTCTTCCTTCTGTGTTGGGACCTAAAGTCTTATGGCATTGTGAATGCACAGGATAACTACTCCAAGCTGGCTTCCAAGTCTCCCCATTCATTCTCTGTTGTTTCTGCCAGTTTTTGCTTCTAAAGAGGAAATTATTCTAAGGCTGAATATAGTGATATAGACCTATAATCCCAATACTCAGGAGGCTGAGGCAAGAGGGTTCTGAATTTGAGGTCAGTGTGGATTACATGGACAGACAGTCTCAAGTCCCTCCCCTCTCAAGTAGTTAGATAATGATAATAGTCATAAAAATAAAAACAGTGTAAAAGGAATTGCTAATGTACTTATTTCTTTTTTTTACAAGTATATTCTGAGCTCCTTTAAAAACAATTATAATTGGTCATGTGCTACTTGTCATAACCCCAGCTCTAGGGAAGCAGAGGCAGGTGGCTCTCTGAGTTCTAGGCTACCATGGTCTATTTACTGAGTTCCAGCTCAGGAGACCCTGTCTTTTAAAAAGCTGTTGGTGTATGTGTGGGTGTGCACATGCCATAACACATGGGAGAGCAGAGGATAGCTTTGTAAAGTTGATTCTCTCCTTCCCTTTATATGGGTTCCAGGGCTTGAATTAGGTTATCAGGATTTCGAAGCAAGCATCTTTAGCCACTGAGCTATCTTGCTGTCCCTTCAATTTCCCTTTAAAAAAAAAAAAATTTAGCTGGGCAGTAGTGGTCCACGCCTTTAATCCTAGCACTCAGGAGGCAGAGGCAGGTGCATTTCTGTGAGGTCAAGGCCAGCCTCATCTTCAAAGTGAGTTCCACCTCAGATAGTCAGGGCTGTTACACAGAGAAACCCTGTCTCGAAAGGTGTGTGTATGTGTGTGTTTGTGTGTGTGCATATAATAACGTTAGGCTTTCGTAGCTTGGAAGGAAGGGAGATTTATGGAGGCTAAATAGTAAGACCAGTACTAAGACTGCTTAGACCTTTTATACCAAAATCCACACTTGCAGACACAATTGTAATATTTTGTTTGTCTTTTTTGGGGGGAGCGGAGGGGTGGTGGTCAAGACAGAGTTTCTCCGTGTAGCCCTGGCTGTCCTGGAACTCACTCTGTAGACCAGGCTGGCCTCGAACTCAGAAATCTGCCTGTCTCTGCCTCCCAAGTGCTGGGATTAAAGGCGTGCACCACCACAGCCCAGCTATTTTGTTTGTCTTATTGAGTAGACTAGCCTGGACCAAACTAGGTCCACTTGGCTCTGATTCCTGACGCTGGGATTAAAAACCAAGTAGTACCATGCTCAGCCGTCTTGTGTTTAAACCATTGTTTATAATTTGGTTTAATCCTAGTTGGTATGGAAAGTATACTGCTGACATTGGTCAATCTCTGAGTCAAGCAACACTCTTGCTTTCTCACAGTGCGCTGTATGATGTATGGGTTTGGGGATGACCAGAATCCTTACACAGAGTCTGTGGATATTCTTGAAGACCTTGTCATAGAGTTCATCACTGAAATGGTAAGACACTTTTTGTTTTATTTATTTATTTATTTATTTATTTATTTATTTTTGTTTTTCAAGACAGGGTTTCTCTTTATAGCCCGGGCTGTCCTGGAACTCACTCTGTAGACCAGGCTGGCCTCGAACTCAGAAATCTGCCTGCCTTTGCCTCCCAAGTGCTGGGATTAAAGATTAAAGGCATGCACCACCACTGCCCGGGGTGACACTTTTGTAACTATAACTTTTTTGTTGTGTTTATTTTTGTAACTGTTAATGAAGGTTTGAAATCTTAAGCTGTAGATAATACTATAACTTTTGAAATCAGCTATCCATTAGAGTACCTGCTTTGTGCAAGTTCCTGGATATTAAATAAATGTATCGCAACACTTCTGAGTGAGTTAGTTAGTTATTTCACTTGGTATGCACAGGTGTTTTGCCTACAAGTATGTCTGTGTATGGTAGTGTGTCTGGTTCTCTCAGATGCCAGAGGAGGGTGTTGGATTCCCTGAAACTGGAGATACAGAGCTGCCATGTGGGTGCTGGGAACTGAACTCTAGTTCTTGGGAAGGATACCAATGTTCTTAAACACTAGCATACTTCTACAGCCCCTGAGTTTTATTTGTAAAAACATAATATCCTTGAATAAAATTAAAAATACTGCCCATAATCTCATCCAGCCTAATTTCCTTCCCTTCTAGTATTTATTTAAAGGTATGTACAGTTCATGTAAATTTCATGTGCATTGGTTTTACCTGCATGTATGTATGTGTGAGGGTGTCAGATCCTTGGGAACTGGAGTTACAGACAGTTGTGAGCTGCCTTGTGGTTGTTGGGAACTGAACCTGGGGCTTCTAGACGAGCAGCCAGTGTTCTTAACATTTGAACCATCTCTCCAGCCCCTAGTCTAACATTTTGAATGACCACTTTTATGGTTTTCTTCCTTTCCTTTGTTTGGATGTATTAGCAGGGATGGGGTTACTGAGTTTGGTTGTTTTTAGTTCTTATGAGTGTTCACTCTTTACTTTGGACTATCTCTTTACTACAGAATAAAAGTGAAAAGATTACTCAGCAAGGGCAAAGGCTGTTTGGTGTGTGTGTGTGTGTAAGGGCCTGCACATGTGGCAAGTATTTAATCCAGTTTAACTCAGCTCAAGGAAAACATTAGCCATAGCAGTGCTAGATCACGCTAATATGCATGTGTAAGGCCCTGGGTTCAGTCTCACACCACATTAAATGGCAGAGTCTGGCATAGTGCCTCATACCTGCAATCCTAGAGTTCCAGACATAGACAGGAGGATCTGCTACAAGTTAGAAAATCCAACCTGGTTTCTGTAACAAGTTCCAGGCCATCCAGAGCTACATAACAACACTCTGACTTGAAATAAATAAATAATGAAGTAAATACATCTCACAAACAAACAAACAGAAAAAAACCCACAAATCATCCAGGCACAAGAAGATGTCATTTTGCCAGGCAATGGTGGCGCTCACCTTGGGAGGTAGAGGCAGGCGGATTTCTGAGTTCAAGGCCAGCCTGGTCTACAGAGTGAGTTCCAGAACAGCCAGGGCTATACAGAGAAACCCTGTCTTGAAAAACCAAAAAAAAAAAAAAAAGAAGATGTCATTTTAGTGTGGTCAGCATTTAGGCAGCTGTGATAGGCGGACCCCAGTTTTAAGACCAAGCTAGGCTACACAGTAAGACCCTGTCTCAACAAACAAAAACAAAGCCAAGTGTAATGGTACATGCTTTTAATTCTAGAAGTTGTAACAGAGACAGGAAGATTGCCTCATTTGAAACCAGCCTACATTCCAGGATCCTGTCTCAATAAAAAACAGTCAGAAATCAGAGACAAGGTGGCCTGAGTTCAGGGCTAGGCTGGTCTATATAGTGAGCTTTAGGGTTTATAGTGAGACTCAAAAACATGTCTCAAAAACAAAACAGCAACAAAAATAATATTAATAATAAAAATTAGGCTACTAAAGCCTAATTGTTATTTGCCTAAACTCTATTACACACTCATTACCCACCCTAGAATGCATTTAACAAGACAACCCCCCAACAAAACAAAACAAAAGACTTCACACAACAAAACAGAAGTATCTTCAAATTTGCTAGGTTTTGTTGTTTTGGTCTACCTACCTACCTACCTATCTACCTACCCATCTATCTATCTATCCATCCATCCATCCATCCATCCATCCATCCATCCATCTATCTATCTATCTATCTTTAAGGCAGGGTCTCACTATGTAACCCTGGCTGGCTTGGAACTTGCTGTATAGACCAAGGCTTAGCCTGAACTCACAGAGATCTGTCTGTCTCTGTCTTCCAAGTTCTGGGATTAAAAGTATGCATCACTCTGTCTGTCCAGCTTACTTTCATAGTTTTAATGTCCTTAATGCAAAAAAAAAAGCCTATAAAGCATAAAGGAAATATTGCTAATTATGCAGAAGAACAAGGATAAGGAGGCTGGAGAGACGGCTCAGCGGCTAAGAGCACTGACAGCTCTTCCAGAGGTTCAGTTCAATTCCCAGCAACCACACGGTGGCCACACCCATCTGTGATGGGATCCAGCGCCCTCTTTTGGTGTGTCTGAAGAGAGCAACAGTGTACTTACATACATAAAATAAGTCCTTAAGAAAAAAAGGATAAGGAGATGGCCAGACAGATGGTTCACAAATGCAAACACCAGTGTGATTAATAGCAAATTAAGACACAAAAATATTTGACCTTTAAAAATTAATGTGTTTCCTTGTCATAGACTCACAAGGCAATGTCGATTGGAAGACAAGGTCGAGTGCAAGTTGAAGATATTGTCTTCCTAATTCGAAAGGATCCAAGGAAGTTTGCTAGAGTTAAAGACTTACTAACTATGAATGAAGAATTGAAACGGGCTAGAAAAGCTTTTGACGAAGCCAACTATGGATCTTGACACCGTTTGTAATTCCTGAGATTTTGGTATTTTCTGTGGAAACCATACATTGTTGTTGTTGTCTGCAGTAATATCATGATAGCTAGCCATGCAATGAAAGAGGTCTTTATCTGACCATATTTGAATTACTGGCCTTTAATAACTCCTAACTTAAAGTATTGCAAACCATGCAGTTCCATCCGAAAGGGGGAAGTAGTATTTATTCTTCAGGTAGACGTGTGCATTCCAAGCTGTATACCATTGCTGCATAATACGCAATCTAAATGTCCTTTTGATTTTATGAATGGTGAGGCTTGGGCTTTATGTATCTCAAGTTTTTAGATGAGAGTGGTAGGAGAAGTTATTAAAGATAATGAACTGGTTTGTGTGTGTGTTTTTTTTAAGAAACTAAATTCTTGTCAGAATGTTTGTCTTAATAGATCATTTGTTTTAATATTCTTTTCTAAAGAACACTTTTTTTTTTTTAAAGAAACTAATATTTGCTAAGTGTTAACAGACCTTGTCTTCCTTATTGGCTGTAAAGCTTCCAAAAACAAATGCCTTGAGTAGTAGGAATGGCAAAGCTTATAAAGCTGGTGCCAGGACAGGTATTTCGGGTTGTGTCTATTGACGTAAATTTAAGTACTTTCATTGTGAGAATGTATAGTTGATTAAACCTGTGTGTGACAGTGCAAACCATTTTCACAGTTCAGGATATGCAGGCTTTGTGTAGTTCGCTTACTGCATTAAATTATTATTCTGCTTAGCTTACAATAAGGATTCAAATTGCATTTAAAGAGCTTACTGAATGTTACTCTGAAACTTACTGGTGCTTCTTAACATTTCTAAATCAGTACTTGGGGAAATACTACCTGTTTAATCTACTGATACAAGGAATAAAGAATAAGGAATTGAACACACCTACACTTGAATTTGTGTTTGTTTGTTTATTTGTGTATGGTTCTTATGAGACAGGGTTTCTCTGTATAGCCCTGGCAGTCCTGGAACTTGCTTTGTAGACCAGGCTGGCCTCAAACTCACAGAGATCCATCTGCCTCTGTCTCCTGAGTGCTGGGATTAAAGGTGTGAACCATCACACCCTGTTAATTTTATGATTTATACTCCTCAGGATACTGCATCTATTACTGTATGATAGTCCTAGCTCTTTCCTCTTGTTTTTTTTTTTTAAATGTTATTTTTATATTACACCTCAGTTGATGATGAGATTTAATGCATAACTGGGCTGATTATTTTATTTAAAAAAAAGAAGAAGAATGGTTGATGCAGGAGAGAGAGCTCAGATAGCTCAGAGGTTAAGAACATTGGTTGCTTTTTCTAGAGGAATTCAGGTTCAATTCCTAGCAATATATATATGTATATATATATTTATGTACCTGTATGTAAGTATGCGCACAAGAGTACATGTGCCCAAGGTGCTGCTTAGAGGACTTCCAATCCCAAGGATCTGGAATTACAGGTGTTTGAGAGCTACCTGATGTGGGTGCTGGGAACCAAGTCTTGGTCATCTTCAAGCAGTATGCATTCTATTTTTTTTATATATATATTTTATGTATATGAGTACACTGTAGGTTTTCAAACACACCAGAAGAGGGCATCAGATCCCATCACAGATGATCATGAGCCACCATGTGGTTGCTGGGAATTGAACTCAGGACCTCTGGAAGAGCAGTCAGTGCTCTCAACCACAGAGCCATCTCTCCAGCCCAGCAGCAGTATGCATTCTAAACTGCTGAACTAATCTAGCCCTGGTTGGGCTTTTGTTGTTGTTTGTTGGGGGAAGGAGATGTTTTGAGATGGTCCCTTATGGTGTAGGCTGGCCTTGAACCAACTCACCCTGTAGCTGGACTTCATCTTTGAGCTCCACCTGCCAAGTGCTGGGATTACATTTATGTACCAGTGTCACTGTATGCTTTTTGTTGTGTCTTTAATCTCAATCCCTTTTAAGGTGCCAAGTGATAGAATGTAAAGCTAAGCTAGTATAAAAAGAAAAAGATCTTACTTGCTTACTTAGTTGAAACATAGGAAAGAAGGGATGGGGGCTAACTTCAGGCTTGACTGGTCCCAGGTACTTAAGGAGAATCAAGACTATCTCCATCTTGTATCTTAACCTGGATTTACACTCTTGATGGTCTTAAACATGGCTGACAGTTCTAGAGTGCCATTATTTTTTCTTAAAGATTTATCTATTTATTTATTTATTTATTTATTTATTTATTTAATGTATGTGAGTACACTGTACTTTCAGACACACCAGAAGAGAGCATTGGATTACAGATGGTTGTGAGCCACCACATAGTTGCTGGGAATTGAACTCAGGACCTCTGAAAGAGCAGCCAGTGCTCTTAACCACTGAGGTGTGGCGTTGTTGGAGGAGGTGTGGGGTTGGGCTTGATAGTTCAAAAGCCCACACTAGGCCCAGTCTCCTCCCCCTTTCCCTCTCACGTCTTCTCTCCCGTCCCTTCCTCCATCCCTCCTTGCCACCCTGTCTGTCTCCCCCCTTCCCATCTCCATCTGTCTCTCTGCCTCCACTGTTCAGATCTTATATACGTTCTCAGCGACTGTTCTGGTACCATGTCTTCTGGCCTGCTGCCATGCTCCGTACCATGATGATCATGTACTTACCCTCTGAAACTGTAAGCAGGCTTCCCGTTAAATGCTCTTCTCTTAAAATTTGCTTTGGTCATGGTGTGTCCTCACAGCAATAAAAGTGACTGAACAGAAAATTCCAAGTGAGAGTTACTATTGTTTTGGCTCTAGCCAGGAAGATGTGTGATATCCAGGACCTCCTGCCCTACCTCTGTGGTGAAGATGTCATTAGGTTGATAGGGTGCTTACCAATCATGCACAGAGCCCTGGATTTAGTCCTCAGTACTTCATAAACTTAGTATAGTGCAAACTTATAATCTGGATCAGGGGAGATAGAAGCAGGAGGATCAGAAGTACTAAGTTGGTGGTCAGCCTGGGATACATGAGATCCTGAATACACACCCCAAGAAAGTGGCATAGAGTAGGCCTGGAAAGCAAAAGGAAAAGGAGATTGGATAGACAACAGATGAACAGTGATTTGATTCACAACTGTGCCTTTTTTTTTCTTTTCTTTCCAAGACAGAATCTCACTATCCAGCCCATTATCCACCTGCCCATGATTGAAGTCAAAGATCCTCCTCCAGCTCTGGTCTCCCACATGCTGTGGGTGTTACAGGCAGAGTTTATTAATTTTGAGTTCTGATAGTAAGACACTATAGCTACCTTCGAACATCTACTTAAGTAGACGTCAGCTTCTTCTTCTTCTTCTTTTTTTTTTTTTTTTAGGTTTTTGGAGACAGGGTTTCTCTGTGTAGTCCTGGCTGTCCTGGAACTCATTCTGTAGATCAGGCTGGCCTCGAACTTAGATGTCAGCTTCATGTGGCGATTTCATTTAAAAATAAATAAAATTGAAAACTTATTTTCTCAGTTGCACTGGAGGTATTCCAGGTTCTCAACTCCATGGTAGTAGCTGGTGTAGCATTGGATGGAGATGATCTAATGCCGTTTCTATTTTCACAGAAAAAACATTTTTGAACAATGAGGGCACAGGTGCTCCCTCCTCAGCTCCTCTGATTGCATAAACATAGTATGGTAGTTTCAGTATGCTTGGTCCAGGGAGTGGCACTCTTAGGAACTGCCTGTGAGACAGTCTCTCCTGGCTGCCTTTCCATCAAGATGTAGAACTCTCAACTCCTCTGTAGCATCAGGCCTGCCTGGATGCTGCCATGCTCCCTCCTTGATGACAATGGACTGAACCTCGAATCTATAAGACAGCCCCAATTAAATGTTGTCCTTTCTAAGAGTTACCTTAGTCATGCTGTCTCTTCACCGCAATGAAACCGTAACTAAAACACACACAGTATAATAGGAAAGCATGATCGGCCACAGTTTCAACAAATAACCAATTCTTTGCCAACTTGTCTTCTGAGAGTAGTATTTAATCAACTTCATCAGCAAATGCAGAACACATCCATCTCACAAAGTGGAGCAGCCGTAGAAGACTTGATGTAAGGGAGTGAATACCAGCTTTCAAATGTAAGTAAAACTTGGCTTCTTGCCTCTAGGCAGACACACACAGAAACAGTAGTTTGAGGGTAAATCATGAGGGAAATTATAGGAATATTCGTCTAGAGCATCATAAGCTAGGACAACGTTAATGTAGAAATGGGAAAAGTAGCTCACCAGGTCTGAACAGTACAGAGGAGTGGGTTGCCTGGGAAATGCCCTCAGATGCTTTGTCTTGTTGCTGACATTGGACATTTAGCTAGATGGGTTATATTTATTAGCAAGAGTTATCCATGCATGACTGCTTGTCTCTTTAACATGACTTTGAATATTTAATTTATTTAAATATTGAGTTTAGAGGTCATTCTTTTCCCACCATAGTTAGGAACTGTATGTACTCTTTCTAAGTTGCTTTTGTTAGGTATTTGGTCACACTGATTTAAAAAAAAAAAAGCAGCAAATACAACATGCAGCATATAGTGTCTATCCAGACTTTATAGACATGCAGCATATAGTGTCTATCCAGACTTTATAGAAAGTTCTACTAAATGGCTTCAATCTCATTCCTTTTGTTTTAATTACACTTACTTATTCTGTGTGCGTTTGCCTAGGTGAATGTATGTGCCATAGCACTCATGTGGAAATCACAAGACAGCTTATTGAGTATTATACTGTGTGTGTGTTGAGTCTTTCCTTCCACCAAGTGGGTCTCTGGGTTCAAAGTTAGGCCATCAGGTTTGGTGGCAAGTGCCTTAAACTGCAGAGCCATCTTACTGATCCTAGAATATTGATTTTTCTTTTTTACAAAATTATTTTTTTATTAATGCTCACAAATTTACTTAATATAAATATAAATGTCCTTATTTGAAACAATGATGTATTTTTTAAACTGGATTTAATCATACATGTATAATTTAAGCTTTTGTCAAGGAACCTTGGTTAGATCCATGGACATTTGCTTATTGATCGTTTGGGGGAGGTTGGGGTGAGAGGGAAAGAATTATGTCAGAGTCTCAGGTAGCCCAGGTTGTCTGGGAACTCCCTGTGCATAAGAGGTTGGTCTTGAATTTCTGATCTTCGTGCCTCCTGCTAGTGAGAATACAGATATGGGCCACCACGAGTGACCTTGGATTTAATCCTTGAATCTGTTGAAGGAGAAGCCATGCTAACAGTATTTGTTTTCCCAAGGCCAGGATGCTGCTGACCCTAAAGCACAAAACTCCTGGTTTGTTTATGTTTTCATAGAGTGGCTCTTTTAAAACAAGTCCCCTTATTTCCTTCCACTGAACTCACTCTCTGAACACCGAGGATTAAAATGTCCTTGTTTAGGCTTGTGCTCAGATTCCTTTGTGACAGCTGGGGAGAACCAAAAGCTTCTATTCACCTTTCTATAAATGAGACTTGAGAATCATATTCAAAGGTATCCACCTTAGCCTGTAGGCATTTAAGTCATAAGGCGCCATGAGTCATTTTGTCATGTTAGAACCTGCGTTTTCAAACGATGCCTGACCTAGTTCCTAAGTCACTGTAGGCATTCAGTCGATGTTTAGTGAATGACTGAGACAACACCTCAGGATCTAAGGACAGTCCATCTAAGAAAGCTTTGTCTTTTCTGAACAGTTCACTGCTATGCAGCTAGGAGAGTGAAAGGCAAGAAGATCTAATCTTAGCCCTGTGGCTGAGTGTTGAAAAGCGATACCTTAGCTTAACAGATATTAAGGGTGTATGGTAAAACCTGATGTTACATTAGGAAGCAAATATACAAATAGTCATTGCATTACCAACATACAAGTGGTAAGGTAGACCAGCTGTCTTATTCCAGTCTCGTCCTTTTCTTTCTTGTACCTCCTTTTCCCAGAAGTATAAATAGTGTGTATTT